GAGTTCGATTTCTAAGAGTAAGTAGTAAATATGTACTTTGTGTTTTAATAAAGTACATATTTACTACTTACTCTTAGAAATCTAACTCTATACAGTGCGTAGGCCTATGTAAAGTGTACGGCGAATACACCCACTCAACTTATACTTTACCTTACAGAAGTTATACATTATACAAAATCTATATATTTATCTCACACATCTCTTTCCACTTATCTTACAATTTTCTTAACATATAAAAATTGAATCATTTTAACTTAAACTTTGTCTTGTTTAATAAATAACTTAAAACACATTAAATTATTACACGAAGAGAAATGTTTTTAATGTTTTAAATTTGAATTTGCTTGTAATTTATAAAAATAAATGCATTAATTCTTTGCTTTTATATTTTTTCGAAAGAATTGAATCGGATTTCATAAAATTTACTTTTATTTACACGTATTCCTGTTCTTTTCCTTATCAATATTAGAAATATCTTTTATGATTTTATTTGCAAAAGATGTATTTTTTTTTTAATCTTAAATTCTGTAAAATCATTAAACATTTTGTCGTGGGTTTGCACCTCTCCAACGTGGAGTTTTCCGGGTTTTCTTCACTTTAGTACACTTAAATAGGGCCATTTTTCCATATAAGACCTCTCGGGAGGCACATCGCCCATATGTAGCATTGCCATAAATAAGCATTGTAACAAACAATTTCTACAATTAAAAATATCCGAACTTCACGACTATACCATACGACGTAATCTTCTGGAAGTCCGAGCTTTGAGACATTACAAAAAGGGTAATTTGTTATTTCCATCTTGAAACAATTGACAATCTCCAAAAAGCAATTTTCCAGAATTGCTTTAACGGTATCCACCACCAACCTGTAAGAAAAGTTCAAAAGAACATGGATAAAAATCTAAATGTGTGAGGAGAATAGCTTGGAGCACACAGGCAATTTTCATGCAGAAGTCTCCATGAAATGTAAAACTTTATGTAAATCGGAATGAAATGAATGTCCTGAATCATTCAAGATGTTAAATACCATTAACATTAACCGCGTTAACTTTAGCTATGACAAAATTTCAAGGTAAAGAAAATCGCGAATTAATCAATGAATTAAAAACTTTTCTTAATAAAATTTTTAATTAAACTTTCCTAATTAATTTCTGAGAAATAATTCAGTATTTTATTGTTGGTATACAGAATTAAGTTTCAAAAAAATACGTAAACGTATTGACTATGCAAACTTTACTTTACAAAATAAAAATGACGTGGGATATTTAATTATATATACTGTATAAGTCTATTTATTTTTCAGATATCGTTATGTAATTAATTATTCTTTGATGTTAGGAACGAAATTATTGGGCAGCAACTATTATTCTACGATTTTATATGTAATCAATGGGCACAACAAATGTCAGTGCGTTTGAAATGAAACGGATTATGTCATTGGTTTTCTTATCCTGCTGTAGTAAAGCCTTTTACCAGGCAACGAGCTAATGCTTTGATAGCTTTCGTAGTTGTGCTTTACTTTCTTAATTATTACATGGATATCGAGAATAAACACATTAAATTTACTTTTTATGAAAATTATTTTAAAATTTATAAGCATGGAAATTCAATAATAATAAGTAAATTATTGTATATATATATTGTGAATAACAGTAGTAAACAAGACTGTACCTGGCGTGATGATAGAGGGGCCCACTTCTCCTTAGCGGGCCTTATTTTGCCAATTTTTTAAAATATTTTTTGTTAGTAAAAATACTATAACGCTAATTTATAGTGGTAGGGCCCCTAAGTTTTCTCCGGGGAAAAATCCCGTTACCACTTCTCGAGGGCCTGGTAGTAAACATTAATATATTAACCATTCACAACATCTTTAAAATCTAACGAAAAATATATTTAACTAACATTTTCAGCTTTTTAAAAGCTTATTTGTATAAAGTATGTAACATAAAATAACCTTTTATATACAAAACGTAGACATAAAATCGTTATATATGTTACATTACACTACAGTTTCGTATTATGTATTATGAAGTTATATCATTACACCTCGTATATTATGGAGGAGTTACAAGACATGATTTGAAAACCTGTCATTCTCAAATGTCTAAATCTCCGTAAGTGATGACGCAACGTAAACTACATTTTGTATGCCTTCCCATCGAGACACGTCAATTTACGTCATCTTGACGTAGAATTTATCATTGTTATGAGACCACGCATATTACTTTGCATAATTTGAATTATTATAAAAGTCTTCTGTAATTTTAATAAAAGAAATAGTTTGTCGATGTGGAATATTGATGTAAAAAGGAATTACAGCACAGGAAAATTTTAATGTTGTGGTGTTAAAACTTTTTCCTGTGTTGTTCTGTATATTATTCCAGGAAAAATTTAACAATAAACAATTATTTATTGAGACACCGTCACAAGGCCGGGCTACAATTTTTAATCATGTTTATAATTTATTTAATTTAAAATATATGTTTTCCATCTCAAATTAGTCGTGCCTTTCCTCTGTTGTACGTCATACTTTTCCTTTAACAATAGAGTCGTGCCGGTCATCTAACGCCTTTGAATAGAAAATTTAATTGAGATAACATGACTTCCGGTTTTCGTCGGAAGTTCATATGGTTAATGGGGGCCACCTGTTCCTAAGCTTCCCATATTTGGTCTTGAATTTCACTTATCTAACACCATTCTCGAGATTAAGGAAAGACAGACAGTGGGAATTTATAGGTCATTTTTAAGAAAAATTCATAAGTAATTATAGTAGCGTTGCTGCTATGCTATTATCGATCCAATTATTCACACAATTGTACCAGCTTACACTGAGAAATCAGGCATAAATTAACCTGTAATCTATTCACAATCAAGGATCAATACTTAGTTTAACATAACCAATAAGTATTCGCGTATTAATAGTAAACTTTTAACTCTTCATCCTTGGTTGTGGACAGGACCATAGAAGAATTTTAACTTCCTTTTGAGAGCAAGAAATTATTAATCTAGTTATTCTGTATAGGAAGTGCACCAAAAGACCCTAATTCATTTTACCTCTGCAACTTTAATAATTTTAAAGCTAATTTTTTTTTTTTTTTACGCCAAAACATTCTTTGATTAGTTCGAACCACCATATAAACAAGAATTTATGGAAAAAAGGACAAATTATAGCATAAAACGATTTATTTAAACATGTTTATGCCTTGAGGAATGAAAACAGTTGTAAAAATCTTAAGTATATTCCGTTCCTGAACATTCTTCAAAGCTCAATCAATGTACTGTACACGTCTCACCTACAGTTCACCGTGGCAATCTGAAGACCACTATCACAAAACATGCAGATAGCTTCACTTTTAGTGGTAATCTCAAAGTAGTTTTTGTGACCTAAAATATTTTTACTGATTTTTCCATTCAATCCTCTCCCTCTCTCATAGCTTCTATGACGTTAGTCATGGATTCTGAGGCCATGCAACTTTTCCCCCTTCTACTATCTTCTGTCATTGTTTCCAATCTAAATATAAGAAAGATCTAGTTTTTCGAACTCAAAATAATGTTCAGAAACGTGAGGATCCTTTAGAATGCATGGGGGACCGACTAAGGGGTAGGGAATGTTTTGGAATAACATAGCATCGTGAATTATTATGTCAGAAACGGTTAACAAGGCACATAATCCCTAATTGTATTCTATTTTATGTTAATAGTGAGAAACGAACTGTAACCTGTTTAGAAGTGAAGTAATGACAAAATCACGTTTCAACAATTTCGTGGATAGCAAGAATGAAAATCCACGCACTTTTAACAAACGAGACCAACCATAACTGAGCAATAACGATTGCATAAAATTCAAGATGACAAGACTATGAAGTATTTACTCCACTTAACGCTAGTCTGCAACACTTATTTCTCGAAATAAGTTGGGATCCTACTTAGGGGGATCAGACGTTGCTGCTTTTCCCTCTATTGATTTTTCGGAAATATCGTTGATATTTTTGACATTTGATGTTTTAAATATATGAATTACAAAATAATAACCAGTATATCTTGTAATATTTCGTATGCTAATTGTTATTTATAAATAAACAATACACTATTAATGAACATACCGTTAATAATCTTAACCGAATATTCATTCAGTTAATCATCTTCGAAATTTTTAGAATCTAAAACATTTGATATACAACTATATCCAATAAGTTACACATCTCTTATCATAGCATTATAATACTGTATCATCATGATGAAAACTGAAAAAAACTTATTTCTTATACTTTTGTAAAACATGATAATTGTTAAGTTTCTTGGTAATCAAATATATTCATTAAACTTTCATAAAACGAATATACTAATTCTTCGAACTTTTTCAGATTAAAATTTCGTTTTGTTGTCAGAATTTAATGGAAGAAAAACTTGATATAAGAAAAAATTGTACTCGATATTTTCGGATAAGATATTAAAAAATGGAGCGTTAGTTACATTAAGAGGCTATCCATAAATTGCGTAAAGCAGATATGGGTGGGTACGCAGGTAAACGTTACTGTGTTACAAGGGGGTGGTGATGTTTGTTTACATAATGCTAGGATCTCAACCATTGGGTAACAGAATGATTCATTTCTGCTTTAAGTGTTGCATAACGAAGCGTATTGTTTGTCACTGCTTTGTACGGTACGTTATATATGTAATTAATAAAATAATGTAACGTTCAATACCTTGTGCTGTATATTACTCCTTAGTAATTGTACTAAAGAATAATATACAACACGTTACGTTAAGGGGTTGATCGAGAATAAGGCATTACATAATTTTGGGGTAGATTTGGGCGACTGCATTACAGAATGTTACAGGGTTAGTGATTTGATAGTTAAAATGTATAAAAATAGCTTAAGGTAATTTATGGACAATTCGGAACTATGGCATTATGTGATGTCATTAATGAGGGGTTTAACTTATCAATTTTTTAAATTTGTGCTCAGTGGTAATTCAGCAAATCATCTGAACCAGTTTTCTACACTTTAAATCTTTATTTCAAAAGATTTATGAGGTTAAAAAAGGATGGCACATTTTACTTAATTTAGAAAAATTGTATATTAGTGCCATCTGTTGGAATTAAATATTATTTTCTTCAACAATAATGATCTGTGTAGTTATCTTATTAATCCAGATAATATGTTAATCTGTTTAGATTATGCTGTTGCAGTAATATTCCCAGAAATTTCATATTTATTAATGTTATATTTTGTAAGAGGCTGATTTTGTAATATAAAATATTGAATTATCCATTTTTAGGTGGGAAAATAAGATCAAAATGTTTAAGAACTTTTTAATTAAAAATTTTTAATGCTTAATTCAAAATAGCATTAAAAAAATAACAAAACTAAAAACATATTATAATTGTTATTTCATACTATGAAATAAACAATCTTAATATTGTACGTGTGAATGCTTTTTTTATACTTTACATTATTTTGTTATAAAATTTAGAATATTTACTATTTTGTTATATTCTTTCTGCTATCCAAATAGCTCCTCGACATCCAATTTTAATAGTTTCAGAGAGGATATTATAAAATGGAGCATCAGCTGCACCAAACTGTAGTCCAGTGTGATGGTGATGTTCTTCATCATCACGAAATTGTTTCAAAGTATTCAGAAGTTCTTGATTGGAATTAGGATCGTCGGCCATGAGTTCTCTTATTTGATCGTTATAATGCTGCGTTATGACATCTTCTACCGCAACTGTACACGCCATTGCACTTTCTTTTCCCAACAGAGCAGTACCTGTGCAGAATGAAAATGACCAAAATTATTATATAAATTCAAATTAAAACAGTATAATATGACAATTTTTTGAGAACTGATTATAAATTTACTACTATTTTAAGAAAGTTCTCTAGAAATAATACTTATAGTTAAATACTATATGAACAAAATTTAATGAGCTAGGATGAAATGTAAAAATGTATACTGGAATTTATGAAATTTTCAGATATCTGAGCTATTCATTTGCTTTGGTAGAGGTATAGATGGATCCAATAGAATATTCATATATTCGGAGAATGTTTCATTGAGTTACCTTTTCTGATGTTGCAAATTGTTTCTAATTAAGGATGAGATTAAGGAATAACGTGCATTTTACTTAAAGGCAGCCTTTCNGGTCACTATATAATAATTACATAATAAAATCTTTTTACAATGCAATGCAGCCTAAATTTGAATTTAAATCCTATCACGTGACACGTGTAATGTTTCTAATTGGTTGTTTCTTATGACAACCGATTTTATTGGCAAATTGTGGCGTTATAAATCTTTATCATTCACTAAGATTACAATTTATATAATTTTTTTTTATTACTTTTATCGTAAAAAATGGAATAAAAGGTAAGCTTGATAGGCAAACAATTTTTTTTTATATTTTAGTCGTTGAAAATTATTAATTAAAGCGTTTTATACTGTCAAAAACACGAAAAAATATAGGCCTAAATGATGTAAAGGAATTTATTATATAGATTAGATTACAGAGATCATATGATTTTAAATATTGAATTTTAGAAACACGAATTTCCTGCAATTAATTATTACGGAAGAAAAATTCTGTATGCAATGATTGTTTAGAAAATTGAAATGAGGATTTTTAAAATGAATACAATATAATTGAATAGAATATAAATGTCGTTATAGAGATAAGCTCATAAGTTATATAACAATATACTAAATACTAGGAAATTTACAATACATATATTAAACTAGATTTTTCCGGTTGCAAACTTTTTCATCTGTATGAGAAATACTTTCAAAAATATATTTATTGGGTAATATTATGTTTAAACGTGTTAAAATGTTTTTAAAATATAATCGTGGCATAGCTCTATTACAATTCAATTATTCCTTATAAAGTTGTTTTTACGCTTTCCGTCCTAAATACACTAAAGGGTCTTTTCCAGGCCCATCGTGGGTTCGATCAGGCCCACTATTGAGCGGCCGAATGGTGAAGATGGGACCAAACGTGTCCGGGACAGACCAGCCCAAAAATTTTCTGGAAGCTACTCTCCCAGATTGGTAGCCCTCGGCCATCAGGCCCCTTCAAAAGCTGGAATGAACGAATGTTTGGTTGGTTTTATTGGTATACGGCAAGACGACACATGGGCGATCTGCAGAAGGGGGAATGCCTTCCGAGAGGTGTTTTATGGGAAACTGAGCTCCTATTCAGGTGTTACTAAAACTCGGAAAACACGTGACCGGGCTGGTTACGTGTTTTCCGAAGGCGTTGGCAAGGCGCGAACCAACGGTATTACCAGTGTTCAGGGCCCACAAGTTGCCAAGCGGTGCCGTTCCCTAAATACTGGGAGTTCGGTCATGGATTCGCGCCTCGCAGGACGGGCTGGCCACGTGGGGTTAGTTTTCCGGATTTTCTCCACGTCTGTAATGCCTGAATAGAGACTAGTTACGCTTAAAAAGACCTCCCGGAAGGCATTCCCCTAGGCCAGTGTTTCTCAACGGGGGCGATATCGCCTCCGTGTGGGCGTTTTTCCATGTTCAGGGGACGATTAGCAACAATTTATATTTTGGGGGGGCGAAAAACAATTTTCTGGGCGATATAGTAAAACATTATATTAAGAACAATTAGATATTTTATTCGTTATATCGTACAATAATTAAACAAATAACGTTATACAGTACTAGTCACTAGTCTATTCAATGCAGTACGAATTTTGCGTTAGCCTTGTCCCTTGGCATCGGAATTTTGTAGTGAAGGGGGCGATACTACGTTGAAAGGGGCGACGATTCGTTAGAGGTTGAGAAGCACTGCCCTAGGCAAATCGCCCATGTGTTGCGTTTCCATAACTTAACTAAACAAACAATAAACTAAACAACCTTAGATCGCGTGTGGGGTATCGAGGACCGAAAGGCGTATTGTAGATGCCCAATAAATTCACTAGTCCCAATATCACTAGTGTGTAAAATCTGTACAAGTTTTATACTAATGATATCGGGATTAGTATAAACAACCTAAGGTCCATAGATCTACGGCTGTGATTTTAAGCAAGATAAAGGCATCGATTACCTTAAGTTAATAAATTTGAATTGAATTAAACGTTGGTTGTAGAATGGGAAAATGATATGAAGTGAAACGTGGCTTAGTAGTATGGCCAATCTTAACGGAATTAAATTCTCGCGTAAGTTAAAACTGTAACTGATTGTAACCAAAAACGAATTCCATTCTTTATACTGTAAATTCTTAACTGAAGAAGCCTGGTTAGTTTAACCCAAAGTATTTTTGTGTTTTTATTAAAATTTCTATTGTTACGGGTAATTTATTAACTGATCTTATCGGCGCGCGTATGAAAATGAATAAATATTAATATCGTAGAAGAAATTAAATAGGCGAATCCATTGATATATCAGTAGTTATAGTAGCAGTAGAAGTAGATGGCCAATTAAGCTAAGATAATTTTTATTAATATATACTGAGAATTCAAGAAATTTGTCTCCTATGTAAGCAAAATAGTAATCATTGTATAAGGATGACAAAACAGTTCATTAAATATTCAAGAATTAAAGCTAAAAATTCTTTGGGCTTAGCTACAGTCAACAACTACTAAAAGAAGAATAGAGTACCATATATTATATTTTTAAATATACAAATGAATAAAAAGCAGTCAGTTATACCTTCAGTCTTTTATAAAGTTCTCATTTACCTTTTTTTATAATTATATACATAAATCATTAGTATTCACGTATACAGAATCCTTTTTAATCAATGAATTGTTTAATTTGATTTTAAAAGACCAGAAAGAAGAGAAAAAGGTCATTCTAAGGTTAATGATAATTGTGATTTTAATTTTAAAATATGCAATTTGACAGGACTTAGCTAAAGAATTAAGGAGCAATAATTTCTCTTGTTATCTGCAGGATAAGAAAAAAGATACAAAATCAATTAGTTCCATTAAATGGTTTATAAATTCCTATTCATCATTTAAGAAATAATATTTTCATGCTCTTAGTTAAAACATTATCAATCAGTTTTTTTATAAATGTCATTTGTAAATAAAAAGATGTTAATGAGCTTTTATATTTATATTGTAAACAAGAACTTAAAATAAATTTGACATAATATATTTGATTAAAAAAAAAGTCAATATTCCTCCAACAGAAATAGTCACGTAGAGAACTAATGCAATATTTAAACAGACTCAAATAATCAGGAATGCTGACAAAATAACAAAATTGTTAGAATATATAGAAATATACTAAAGATAAAGTCAAATAAGATGTATGATACAGAGAAACTACTGGATTCTGTAAAGCAGAATGAATTAAAATTATTGACATGCTATTGTCTTAAATTATGCAGTGAATTATGTTTTCATTTAAAGAATCTATTATGCACAGTAAGTCACGTAACTAGGATATTTAAATACTATTAAGGGTTATCAAAATATTACTATATTAAACTGAAATAGATATTCTAATAAAGCTATATTTTTAATTTAAAAATAAATTATTTTTTATTTGCCAAAATCATTAACTTCCAAAGCTTTGTTTTTCCAAACACCTTTAAATGTTTGAAATAGTTTCTTCTGTTTTCATAGTAATGTAAATTCAAACTTTCCAACTAACCACAGAAACATTCAAAAACTGAAACTAAAAATCAGTTAACCTTCACATCATTTTCAAATTTTTTTTACTGAATTTCTCATAGTACAGTGAAATTTTGATTCTCCAACTAATAATATTTCAATGTTTCAACGCCACTTTTATTCCATTCATTATTACATTATTAACATCACTAACTCTCACCAACATTTATGTCACTCCTTCATATTCTTACTTTATCCTAACAATGTCTTAAATTCCTCATTACTTCTTATTTCCTTCCTATTACTAATTACAGCCCTCCAAATCTCTGAATAAATATTAGCATCTTTAATAAAAATACATAAAAGAGACTAAAAATGTCTTGGACATAGCGAAAAGTGAAGACATTTTTAGTCTCTTTTACATATTTTTATTAAAGTGTAAATTCGCCAGCCCTTTTTTACAAAAGATATATTAGCATCATTCTTATTTACAACATTGTTTATCATGCTTAATAGATAAATACAGATCTGCCATTCTCAAATTCATAAACATGTTTTTCATGTAAACTGTTCTTGCTTCATCCCATACCATACTTCCTTGTTATATACATCTTGTGCTAAACATGAGCTTACTTTGCCATTACATCTATCTTACGTTCAAATCTCTCTTAAGTTCCTCAAAGTAGATTCTATGTACAATACATTACCTCTCTCCATTCTTACCATATATACTGTTGCACATTCTCAAAAGGATCTTTCTCATTCCTCACCATATTGTGAAAACTGTTATTTTTCTTAAATACAACTCTTTCATTATACTTCTTCAAATACCTACTTAATGTAAGTTATAGGTATTTTGGCCATTGCTTTGTAATGTGTATGATTCTGCTGAAGATGGGAGGAATGCATCTCAGAAAAATTCTGGAAGTAAAATTTTTGTAGACTGAGTGAAATTTGGTGTTGTATGAGTTAATGTAGACATTGGAGTCATCCTGAATAGATTATTGTGTGTCACTTTTTATATTATTGTATATATCAAACATACATCAAAAATGGTATGAAATTTTAAAACAACTCAAAATTATAAGATTCGGTCCAAAAAATTATTCAGAATATTTTTCGTTCATTCTTTCATACAGAATTTTTATAACACTTTCTGCTTGTTCCATATCAAACAGATGTCACTAAGCAGTTTAACCA